TTCAACTCCTCTGCAGGATGTGGACCACACCTGCTGGTGTGTCAGGAGGGATGGGGAAGTGGGGGCTTTCAGGAATCAGTACGGACACTTGAGTGAGAGCAGTGGTGTTACACTCTCATGCTACAGTCCTGATTGATAACGGATACATTTTCCTTTGAAGCGGAGTTCTCAAAGTGAGGGTACTGAACTTCTGGGATTCCTTGAAAATGTTAAGGGACCCTGAGTGTCAAAACTTTTCATAACAATACTAAGGTGTTACTTGGCCTCTTCCATTGTGTTGACATTGGTGTAAAAGCCATTGTGGTTAAAGCTACTGATGGTGGCACAAATCAGGGCAGGAACATCAAACCGTAGTAGTAGGCATCATCTTCACTCGTTCCATCACTCAGTATCCATCACTCAGTAAATAAATAAAATTTTAAGAAATAAGTGGAACTGGCTCAAGTCCCCACTTGAGAACACATCTTTTTAGTATTCTGTGTGATGAGATGGGAAGCATTTCTTCAGCACTGGAGTATGATGGTTCTCTCCAGGGAAAGCACTGGTGAGTTGTTTGAGTTGTGAGCCGAACTAGCCATATTTTTTTTTCATGGAATATCACTTTTACTTGGAAGAACAGCTGACAAACATTGGCTATTCAGACTAGGGATTTGGCAGACTTGTTTTTCAAGATGAACCAAGTAAGCCTGACACTTTAAGGAAAACAACTGACAATATTTGTTGTCGATAAGAAACTTCAGATTTCAAGCAAAAACAGGATTTTAGAAAACTTGTATCTGCCACGGTAAGCTTGACAGAAACACCCCCCGCCCGACCCCCAGTACTTCAAGGCATTTCTGATGAGATTGGTGATGGGTAATATTAATAAATATGATTTGTTGATACTGTTTAATATGTCAACATTTGGAAGGTTTGCATAGCTCAGTGGTGCTAAAACATCATACACAGGTAACAGATCCATTCAAAGGTAAAACAGACCACTGTTTACTATGACAGAGTTATGAAAAGTTGAATGTGATGGTTGCACATTCTACATTGCAACTAACCTTTAAGAAAATACCGCTTGGCAGTCGGCCTCGCAGTGGTCCCCACGGCAGAGGGTGCAGTTGAGAGGAAGATCGGGCCTTCTTTCCTGGGCCCTCCAGGTCCTCCCGCCTCGGGGCCAGCAGGGGAGCTGAAGGGCCCAGGGACAGGCTCAGGGCTGTGTCCCCCGGCGTCCTCTCAACGGCCACCCGCTGGCTGGGCCCGGGCCTTGAAGCAGCAGCGAACCTCTCTCCCCCGTCCTACCTCTACGACGCAATGATGGCGACTGTCTGCACGGCTCGCAGCCCATGGAGGCCCCAGCAACTGGAGTATATATGGACACTGCCATTAAGGGTAACCAAATAGTTGATGAGAAGTTTCTTTTTGTAGAAGCTAAGGAAGGAATGATTGATAGACTATCATCATTTTTCAGCCCCTGATGAATGAATGGTACTTGACAATGCTCACCATTGGCATTATGAAAAGACGTGCTCCTGAGTAAAAAGGAACCTGAATCTGAAAAAATAAAATACCACTTGGCAAGTTTCAGCATAGTAACAAATAATATCCACAATTATCTGGAAAGGCTATTAAGATACTCTTCCCTTTTCCAACTACCTATTTGTGAAAGACTGGATTTTCTTTATACACTTTAAGGAAAACAGAGCAATAGAGTGAATGCAGATGCAGGTGTAAGGATCCAGCCATCTTCTATTAAGCAAAACATTAAAGATTTGCAAAAATGGAAAAAGTAGTGCCACTCTTCTCAAATTTTTGTTTTAGGAAACTATGCTTATTTATTTTTCATGAAGATTTTATTTATTAGCACACAGTGGGTTTATTTCTATAATGTTTAATGAATCAGTAAATGCATACTTTAGAAATAACTGTTTTCTAAGATGGTCAGTACCATATAATCTACATAAACGTGTTTTATATTTTAAAATATATTTAGTACTTTAACATTACTAAAAATATTTTTTATTGAAATATAGTTGATTTACAACTTTGTGTTAATTTCTGCTATACAGCAAAGTGATACATTCTTTTTTTTAATATTCTTTTTCCATTATGGTTTTATCATAGGATACTAAATATAATAGTTCCCTGTACTATACGGTAGGACCTTGTTGTTTCTCCATTTATATCTATAATAACTAACCCCAGCCTCCCACTCCATCCTTCCCCCAGCCCCCTCCCCCCTGGCAACCACAAGTCTGTTCTCCACGTCCATGGATTTGTTTCTCTTTCGCAGATAGGTTCATTTGTGTCATATTTTAGATTCCACGTAAATGACACCACATGGTATTTGTCTTTCTCCGTCTGATTTACTTCACTTAGTATGATAATCTCTGGGTCCATCCATGTTGCTGCAAATGGCATTATGTCATTCTTTTTTATGGCTGAGTCAGTATTTCATTGTATACGTCTTCTTTATCCATTCCGTTGATGGGACATTTAGGTTGTTTCCATGTCTTGGCTGTTGTGAATAGTGCTATGAACATAGGGGTGCACGTATCTTTTTGGATTAGTTTTGTCTGGATATATGCCCAGGAGTGAGACTGCTAGATCATATGGTAACTCTAGTTTTAGTTTTCTGAGGAACCTCCATACTGGCTGCACCAACTTACATTCCCACCCACAGTGCAGGAGGGTTCCCTCTTCTCCACACCCTCTCCAGCATCTGTTATTTTTAGACTTTTTAACGATAGCCATTCTGACAATGTGAGGTGGTGCCTCATTGTAGGTTTGATTTGCATCTAACAATTAGCGATTGAGCATCCTTTCGTGTGCCTGTTGGCCATCTGTATGTCTTCTCTGGAGAAATGTCAGCTTAGGTCTTCTGCCCATTTTTGGATTGGGTTGTTTCTTTGTTGTTGAGTTGTATGAGCTGTTTGTATATTATTTTGGAAATTAAGCACTTGTCAGTGGCATTGTTTGTTGCAAATATTTTCTCCCATTCTGTAGATTGTCTGTCTTTTCGTTTTGTTTATGGTTTCCTTTGCTGTGCAAAAGCTTGTAAGTTTGGCTCTGTCCCGTTTGTTTATAAAAATATTTTTTTTAATAGCTCTAAGTCAGTACAATAAATGTAACCCACAGAGACATAACTGTTTGATAAAGTTTTAGAACTGCTGCATTAAGGGTTTCTGGTCACTTTTCTCTAGATTTTAGTATCATTTGCATGTTGCCCTCGTGAGCATTTTGCAAGCCGCAAAGAGGCAAGGACTTGGCCTTGGGAGAGAGCTCGCAAGCTAGATAGTTGGAGGAGGGAGGGCGGAGTGCCTTGAAGCAAAGCCAAACCCCCTGGCCTGCGCCTCTTTGCCAGGAAACAGAACATAGGATGGGACGTGGGCCCCCTATGCCATGTACCCACATAATCACTGGTTTGACTGACTACACATTCTCACTTCTGTTACTCTTCACTGGAAGGATTTTAATGTTTTTATTTCTAGCCATTTTAACCTCCTGCTATTCACATTTACAAATTTCTGATGTAGCTTTCAAATGCACTGACGTGCTTCACACTTACTAGTCTGACCTCTTTGTCAGCGGCAGCAGCAATAGCTTGACCTCACATGTTTGTCAGTTGTCTACACAGATTGTCTCTGCCTGCATCAGTGGGCTGAGTAAATGACGTTGTTAGCAATAGCGACAAGGAGAGAAGGGAAGGTTTAAGGAGGAGAGATCAAGAAACAGAGGTAGTAGAAGGAGAAAATTGGTGGGGTGGTATGGTAAGCATTACAGTATCAGTATGACTGCTTTGTTCACAGTCATAAGGAAAGAAGCGCTTCTGACCTTTCTGCCCCTGGCAATGCAAACAGTGGAAATTGGAAGTGGTATTTTACTGAATATCTTATCTGTCAAGTGAAACTGGAGACATCACGAAGTTTGTTAATATTCCTCCTCTTTAGGCTATGGATTTCCTTATTAAGCATAACTGCTCACACTGTTAATATTTTAAAATAATTATCCTTAAAATATAAGTTATATGTTCTAATTAGCTGCTTATTTTAAAGGAAAATGCTGGGGTTGGCAAAGGGCTGGTTTCTGTACGTTTTTTTGGAGCAATGCTAAGCAGCTTCACCGTGATGATTTTGGAAAGGGCTTCGTACCCTGGGAAACTAATTTAGCAGGCATCAGGCCAAGAAAAGGTTTGTATGGCCCTTTGGCAATTAATTGCCCATTCCCAGGCATTCAGACTTTCTTCACCCCACTCGTAGTACTTACATAATGTCCCGTTGTGATTTGTGTACTGCAGAGTGAAGAGGCAACTTAGAATGGTGATCTGAGTACTCGGTGTGTCGGAGAGGGAGGTCAAAAAGGAGAATAAGCTGTGAACTGGGGCCAGTGAAAGCGTTGATGGGCAGTGGCTTATTTGCAGTTTCTTCGGATTTTGCAATGATAAAGTATTTGGCACTCTATAACTTGGTAGTAAATAATATGTCCTAGATTATTATAAATTGTTTGTGGAAAAACTTGTTACGGTACCTTTCCGTGTAAAAATTACACATCTTTAAACAACAGCTGTCTGTCATGAGCTGTTCCACTACTTGGTGACATTTTTTTTTTTTTTGGCCCGTTTGCCAAAGGAAGTGATTTGGATAAAAACCAAATTACCCTGTTAGATCTCTTCTGCTCACTTTCATAATATTCTTTTAAAAGTAAAGCATATTTAAAAGCATTTTACTTAGTTGTTGAGATTGTGTATGTACCTTCCACGCAGTCCTGTGGTTCATCGGTGGTTCCAGTGGCGGTGTTTTCATGGGTAACAAATCCCTTCTGCACTGGAGGTCCAGATTTCTCGGGCTAGTTAGCGCCCAGTAGTCACTGAAGAAAGTGATTCTTAGGATGTCTCCTGGAAGAGATGGGACACCTGGCCCCATGAAGACGGTGCTTGGATCTGCTGTCACACGAACAAATCTGTAAGAAACCGGTAGCCACCAACCAGCACTGAGCGTTTCTTTTTCCCTTTTCAGGCTTCTGGCTGTGATGGGTCGGAGATTCCCGACGAAGTGAAGCTGATTGGGTTTGCTCAGTTGAGTGTCAGCTGATGTCTGTCCCTTGATGTCGCCCTGATCTGCCATGCCTCCCCCTCGCTGTGCCCTCCCCCCAGCCTTTCCCTCCCCTGCCACTTCCTCCCACCCCCTAGCAAAATCAGAGGATTGTGAAGAGGCCGGCTTCAACATAGCGGGATAAAAAAGAATTTTTTTAAACTTAACAACACTGAGTTCTGCTTTATTCTCTAGCAACCCACAGTATGAGGACAAGCAAACACCACAGCTGCACGACTGTGCTCATTTTTCCAAAAGCTATTTAATATCCTCAGCAGTCAATTCGGATCTCCCTTACGTGAAAAGAATCTGAAACACACTCAGGTGGTCCTATTTGTTGGCAACGAAAGGAATTTTTTTCTATATCAGAAGCCTATTTCTTCTCTCATTGTTGTCCTTCCTTTCTGTTACAATACTTTATTGTACATCTGACAATACTGCCTCTTCTGTTGTATTTAGAAATTAATATAAAATCAAGATTTATTAGCCAAACTTGAATTCTAGTTTTAAAACTGACTGTGAATTTTATTTTTCATATATTTATGCATTACACACCTTAGCTATAAGAAAGAAAAAAAACGTTTTTGATTATATATGCTTCTTGCAGTTACTCTCGTTATTTAAACAAAAAGTTTCAGGTCTATCTTTGGAGTATTTATAACTTGTGATTTTTGAAATGACTGAATTAGGAACTAGGATGCTTATTACTCTTTTGGTTTGCCTGAAAACCAGTCCACAAGCTGATTGTCTCTTGGGAGAGGGAGGTGCCTTGCAAAAAACAAAAAAAACTTTCACATTAAGAATGTGCCTGAGGCTGCTTTACTCTGGAATATAGTCTCAGATCTAAAATGTCCTCTACATAAAGTGGCATATGTAAGTTTTGCTTCACTGGGACGTTTAGGATGCTCTATAAAACGTTGCCATTCTATTAGATTGCTAATTATGTACCCACCTCTGATTTTATGTACCCACCTCTGATTTGACGTCTCCTGAAGTGATTGATAGGATCTGTCGTTCCAAAGGTGATAAACTTGAAAATACCAGAATCCGTGTTTTACTTGAAATTCTGCAGAATACCCAGATGGAGTGAAAAATAATAGAAAGGGGTTTGTGCACTGACTAAAAGGTAAAAACGCTGTTAAGTTTCAAGAATAAATACTTTCAACCCAAATAGCCCTCTGCTTGACTTGACTATACATTATGGAATAGTAAACCTTAGGATTTTCAAAATTGGAGTCTGAACTTTCAGGGAGGTGGCTCCCAGATGGTAGCATTTGCTCTTTCCTAGCTAACCCTAGATATGGCAGCTCTTTAATGTACTTTAAAAAGCAAATATATATTACTAAGGACAAAAAAGTTATTTATAATTGCCTTGTCATAATTGTTAAGGTGTTCTAGAGCCATTTGCATACAATTTAATGTAATTTCATTCCATTCTATTGTTTACAACAACAATTACTCAAAGATGACTGCAAAGGTAAAAGGAAAATAAAAGTGTATTATTGCACAAAGAGGTAGTGTCACATTGTTTCATTCCTCCTCGAGGCAGTGTCTGCATTGCTGCAGTGATATTTAGTGCTTTCATAAAACGCCTAGTGAGAATTAACTGGTGAAAAGTGCCCCAGAGGAAGACTAAGGCATCCATCAGGCATCCGTCCAGTCACAGAAAATCAGGTATGACAATTGCTTGATAAAAGAATGAAAGACAAACATTCACACTCCATGTAGACAGTCTGTCTTTAAATCAAAAACCACAGGGCTGCAGGGGACAAGTGAGAAGAATTCCTTCCAACTGCTAAGGCAGGAGTGGTTCTAGGACTTGTCCAGGGCCTTTCAGAGCTTCCTGCAGAGCTGGCCTCCTAGGGCCCTGGCTTCCTGACAGCCACTGCACAACTTGTGGCCAAAAACAGTATAAGAAAAGACCCTCATATTCTTCTCAGAATAAAACGTACATGAGGAAGTGTAGAACTCTTGTTTTGCAATATAGTAAAGAATGATGCTATATTTTCTTTACGCCCATATTCCCATATCTTTCCTAATGGTATTTGAGGATACCAAGATACAGACTTTCAATACATAAAGAAATTAGGATGAAGGGTCAGTAAGATTTGGCTAACAAGATGAATGCAAGTATAAAATTAGGACACAGAAGTTCATGATGAGGTCCTGCATCATTGCTAGAGCAGCACACAGATTGGGATTAGAGCTTCCAACACAGCAACAGTGAAGAGGAACACTTTTTTTTTCCTCAGGGAGAAACACGATTTTTCCTAGTACTAAACCCTGAGATGAAATTCTTCTTGGAAGTTCGAGTTATGTATTCATGAAACTTAAAAACTCTCAAAGCACTGATACATATATCGCAAGTTTTGAACACTTACTTACCCTTTCATAGTACTTTCTACGGGGGCCCAGATGTGTAGGGTATATGATAGGAAATGCTGGTCAGCCAGGAGCTGAGTGATCCAAGCAGTTGCTCTCACTTGTGGTCTAGAAAGATATAACACATTTAAAACTGAGTGGGGCTACGTTTCCTTTAGGCAATCCTCTGTGACTGTTTCTCCTAATCAGGCTTTTGATGAAACCTGACACATTGCGATTGTGCTCACTGACAAAGACCTAAACTTCGCTAACACAGATATTTGGCATTACTTATTTGGACAGCTTCACATGCTTTGACAAACAGGAGGGTTTACACTTCGTAAAATCAAGGCACTCACATCTCATACCTAAATAATATATATAAAAACTGTCCCACATCCCATGTGTCTCTACTGTGGTCAACTTGCAAAGATCTAAAATAGAAGGAAGTTATCTTTTTTTTGCGGTACGTGGGCCTCTCACTGTTGTGGCCTCTCCCGCTGCGGAGCACAGGCTCCGGACGCGCAGGCTCAGCAGCCATGGCTCACGGGCCCAGCCGCTCCGCGGCACGTGGGATCTTCCCGGACCGGGGCACGAACCCGTGTCCCCTGCATCGGCAGGCGGACTCTCAACCACTGCACCACCAGGGAAGCCCCAATATATTATTCTTATATACAGAAAACCACTTTGTTCATATAAGACAACTTTTAGAGACACCTACAAATCGTGTGTGATGAAAACTTAATTTCTTTTTCCAAATAATTATCCGTGTAAAGTTATGGATTTCCCTATGTGTTGTTACATATATGCTGGTAAATGTATCTTCATGCCTGTTCTTCATGTGGGAGTAGGGTGAAGTAGCAGTCTTTAGGGGAAGAGCCAAGAATTCTCTCAAAAAACAAATCTAGTCCCATATAGAATCCTAGCAGGGGAAATTTTTATATCAGGATTTTCACTCATCTCAACAGTGCGCCTGTGGTCTCTCTTGTGTTGAGCAATATATCTTCCTGGTGAACCCTCCAAGTTAAATTGGTAAGCAGAATCTACAGTTAAGTAATTAAATGACGGAGATGGTGAACATGAGCGAATTAACACTGGAGGACTTCTGCCCAAAGTTAGGATTTGCATTTGATAGTAAATAATCTTAGGTCTTCTTTTGCCTTAGAGGTGTATTTGATAAGAGAAGCTGTCACTTAGTGAGGCCCATTAAGTTTGTGACAGTACAATCGTATGATCAGTTTAAAATATTTATCCATTCATATAGCAGAGAGCATGCTTCTAGCTCATCCAAAAGTGGCTTTAGCCAATTATGATACAATTAAAGGAACTCAAATATATCCCCATTTTTCTGCTGCACACATTTATTGTCTAATTTGTTAGGAAATCCTAGCCCATTTCATACTCTCACCAGGACATTAAAGGGCAGGTTGGGTTTAAGTATAAGTGGTGTGCCAGGGTGGGTGGTACTAGAACATACCCTCAGGGCCAGAATGTCCCAACCTAGAACTATGTAATGCTTTCTAGGGTTCTAAGTTTCAAGAGGCCTATCACTAGGCCAAATAGGCATAAACAAATGGTTTTCAAGTGACAATTTCCATTGTATATTGGCATGAACTAAAATTTCAAGTAATGAGCTTTGATCATACGAGAGTGTTTCCTTTAAGCTGATGCAATACTTCCTAGAATTAGCTGCTTAGGATGTGCACTACCAAGAATGAGTAAAACGTTTAATGCATATAAAGAGTGGAGACTGAAAGGGCGTATTTTTAAAATATGATTAAGTGACTGACTCCCTCAGGGACCCTAGACACAATATCAACACCCAGAAACACCACATGAAAGGAGCTGGCACTCCACTGGAATAGACACGCCATAAAAAATATTCAAAAGTACCTGTTTCCAGAAGGTCCCAGTGGTTGCCTCGGTGCTATTTTGCCACAGAGAAAAAGCGTGGTCCAATAACAGTGATGTTTCTTTACCTGTCTTCTTATACCTTGCTCAGCAAACCTAGTCATGGCTGGTTTGGGGACCTAACAAAAAGGAGAAAAATTTGCACTGTTAGCATATCAGCTACTGTGGACCTATGTCAAACCAATGGATGCTAAGAAAGGTACGTAAAACTTCCCCGCGTGAATTGTAGCGTACAAAATGAGCATCATTGGCTGAAGAGGTTTGTTGAACCTGTATAACGCAGCTTATAACTCAAAGGGCAAGGAATATTATTAAAAAATTACCATCTTATGCTATTATTTGAATTTGCTACAGAATGAAGACAGGTAATAGAATAATGATTCCTATAGTGTATTTATCCCTCATGTAGAATACTGGCTTGAGAAACCAAGATTTGTAATTTATCACAGATGAAACTTATTGTTTAGGTAAAATGTTCAGTAAACTAATGAGTCTATAATCTGGTAGAAGTAGGACAGTGCCCTTTAAAAAATGGTATAGAGGGCTTCCTTGGTGCTGCAGTGGTTAAGAATCAGCCTGCCAATGCAGGCAACATGGGTTCAATCCCTGGTCCAGGAAGATCCCACATGCCACGGAGCAACTAAGCCCATGCACCACAACTACTGAGCCTGCGCTCTAGAGCCCGTGAGCCACAACCACTGAGCCTGCGTGCCACAGCTACTGAAGCCCGTGCGCCTAGACCCTGTGCTCCACAACAAGAGAAGCCACCACAATGAGAAGCCCGTCACCGCAATTAGAGAAAGCCCATGAGCAGCAGTGAAAACCCAACGCAGCCAAAAATAAAAAACTAAATTTATTTTTTTTAAAATGGTATAAACAACACTCCAGTCCAACCCCCATCCAGATGGACAACTTGGTATTGAACGATTCTGGCAGCAGCGCTTAGATGTGTAAAGTAACATTACGTTCAAACTTAGCAGGTGCTCAGAGTGAGATGGAGTACATGTAGGTTTTTCACATACAAAAGTAGTTTTCTTCTCTCTGCGAACTCTGTGGGGTTCTGAAGAAAGAAAGAAGTGAATGAAGAGGAGATCACGACTGGCAGAGTAGGAGGATGTGGAGCTCACCTCCCCGCCCCCCATAAACACATCAGAAATACCTCTACATGTGGAGCAATTCTCACTAGAAACAAACTGGAGACTGGCAGAATGACTTATACAACCAAGGCTGTAAGAAAGATCCACCCAGAGTCAGGCAGGAAGAGGGGAGAAGCAATCAGGTCAGGACCTGTGCCCCTGGGAGGGGACCCAGAAGAGGAGGATTACATAGCCTCAGAGATCATCCCTGGGGAGTGAGGGGTCTGAACCACCTATCAGGCACCCCATCCCTGGGGTCCAACACTGGGAGGAAAGGTCCCCTTAGCAGGTTTGAAGGCCAAGGAGACTGACAGCAGGGCTGCCAGAAACCTGGACTACTCTTATGAAATGAGCATGCATGCTTACTCCCTCAACAAGGCAGTGGAAGCAGACTGAAATGACCCAGGACTTTGGCTGGTTTTCTGCAACTGCCCCATTGCAGGCCCAAGGGCCAAGCTGAGCACCCACCGTGGCCCCTCTTGCTCTGCAGAGCAGCTCCATACTAGGGCAAAGGCTGCTGTGGCTAAATGCATAGCTGTCAGGGACAGAGTCTGCTCAGACCTAGCAAGGCATCCATCCTGGTGTTCACAGGGGTGAAAGATCAGTGCTCTGACTGGTGCCGGGACCACCCCAGCACACACTGTGGCCCCTCTTGCTCCACAGCACAGCTCTCCACTAAGGCAAAGGCTGCCGCTGCTGAGCAGACTATGAAGTCGTGGAGGATGGAACCAGCTTGGACCCAGCACTGTATCTGAACAGGGTGAGGATGGCCATCACTGGCACTTGCAGAGGCAGCAGATTGGGAGTGATCTGGAGCTTTGACTGGTCTGCATGGAACACCCCAGCTCACACCCTGGCCTGCACGGGACAACTACTCCAGCTCCCCTGTGGGGCAAAGGTGCCAATGCTGGGAGGGAACAGAGCACACACTTAGAGGGAACAGAACCTGACCCTCAGGGCTTCTGCTTCAGCAACTTTGGACCCGCCCCCTCCCTCGATAGGGTGATGTTGGCCACTGGGCAGAGGAGAAACCCCCTGTCAGACCTGGCTCTAGCTCTGGCCCTCCCCCATCTCTGCCATCTCCAAGTTCCACCTCCTAGCAAGGT